GCCCGATATTTATTGGAAGTTACCCTATCAGCGCGTGCGCAATTTACACTACCAGCGCACTTCGGTAGATCAAACAAAGCCACACGGAGTTAGTTTTTCCCTTTCTATTGCTCTTGTTTTTCTGTCTTTCTCTTAGTTTGTCTTTGCTTGTACTTTTTTTACTTTGCGTTTTGTGAAACACAAAGAAAAACATCTAAAATGTAAGCGAATTTGCAAGCTTTTGAGTTATTATTATTTTCCGCGCGCAGGCTGACGTAAGTAACCGGAAGTGAAATTTCACCTCCTTAGCAACGCACGCGAGCGCGCGCATGAATCGGTTAATGGGCCCTTAAACAACAGAGAATGAAACGAGATTACGAAAGTCAACGATCTTTATTCTATAATCTTGTATCTTCTTTAGAAATACTTAAGCTTTAGTTGTAGATCGTGATGAAAGATAAGGCCTTGTTTATGCAACTGTTTCTCAAGTATAATTGGACAGTCTCTTGTTACAGTAGTCGGCGTACTAAACGTGGTACCTTTGTGCATAGAAGTATTTTTGTTCCGTGTGGATACTAAATTCGTCATGCCTGCCGTGCCAAACCTTTTCTAGCTCTTAGAACCCGAGTTTTCAGGTCTCAGCGCTAATGATGGAAATGACAAAGGGGTTTTCAGAGGGAAGCACAGAGTTAAATTGCTTTCGATAACTTGTTTCTAAGATTAATATTCCTCTTATCTCAGCCTTCGGTTTTGCATTTGTTGTAACTATAGTCACTATCACTTTCGTACAGAGTGGTTTTTAATAGGCCAATTTCGATATATCAAAATTCTAACTTGGCTACGAGGCATCGGGGAACAAAAAACGGAAATAAGTTATTCATCCCTCAACTTCAATGCCATTCCTTTATTTAATTCAATTCCCACAAGCCTCGGAGCCAATTTAGAATTTTGATATATCGAAAATGGCCTCAGATTGACCTCACGGCAGTTGGATATCCCAAAAGTGAAATTTCTTTCCTTTGAGAAATAAGTTCTTTTCTTATCCAAAAATTTCTTTTTGTTGTGAACACCATAATGGCCGACGTGAAAACGGTCCATTGTTTAATCGGGTTAATAGGTTATGCTCTTAGTTTCTTCTCATTCCAACTGAGGAGCGTGTAGCCTACAGATATGTAAAATTATTTCCTAGAAGTCATCAACATCATATATTTCAGACCAGCAGTCACCACAATTTGAATGATGTCACGCTGAAGGGAGCAACAGATTTGACGCTTTACATGGTATAAGTCATACTCCCTCCATACTAACAATTTTCAAATCGGCTTAGGAATGTTTCGCCAAGCTAGTACCCCTTTAGTTAACGATTTCGTTTCAAATTAAAAGGAGAAGATGATCGTAAATAAGCACAGGGATAAAACGCCTATACAAAATGATGCAGGGAATTATACTACCTGCCCGCTGCGTTAAACTGACTGATATCTTTCTTGTTTAATCAATGACTGAAAACCGTCTTGGGCGAGAAACTCCAATCATGAAACGAATAACTTGTCTGATATACGGCCAAATATGGATTTAGTGAAGGACGAGCAACAGATCTTAAATTAATCAATCCATTCTCTTTTCCCGTCAGTAACAACAGGAAACTCCGACGGATGACTCGTTTTCGATGGAAAATCCGCTATGAATTCACACAGGCTAGAACTTGAAATACGACGAGTGTTTGTGAGAAAGAATGATGAAGTATTTATGTCAGTTAAGATGGAATTCACAGTGAGACGAGATCCTGACTTCTAAAAATTCGGTTAACGCACCTTGAATAAATCAATTGGATGGCTCCAGGAATTGCATCATTAATGGTTACATAATTTTGTGGAACAACTCACAAACCTTTTGGGAAAAACAAACTTCATTGAAGCATCTCTATTTTACTGAGTTTTTTACCTTTTGCAATGAGTTAAGTCCTGGAGAGGAACTCAACTGAAATATGCAGCAGCTTCCATAGTTAATTATGCACCTCTTACAAACTCCAAGTGTTGGTTCCCCCCCAGCGCATAGATGTTTTTTTTATTATTATTATTTCTCTCGGTAATATAAAGAATTTAACTTGAATTCATGTAACTTAAGTCCGTCCAAGTCATAAAATGTGGTCGAAGATCGCAGCACTCAGCTTTGAGTGCCCGTAGAGAGCTGAACAGACCAGATCGTCACACTACGTAAATATAAGTATAACAGATCCTCGACAATTTTCAATATTTACTCGTTCCGCACGAAATAGCTTAGTATACAAAAGTACAGGAAGTCGGTGATTCTCTACAACTAAGGAACGATAATATTGGTCCATGCTTGACAAACACCTGCGTTAACTTATTCGCAACAATTTCAGAAACATTGTAACGCTTTTTAATAAGAGTCACATATAATCCAGTATGAATTGCGAGCTGTCTCTTACAACCCTACCCCGAGAGCTTGCTCGCAGGCTTCTCTGGTAACTCCACGCTGAAGGAGCCCCCAGCGGTTATTCCAATATTAACCTGGAGGGCAGATTTTGGATTACAAAAGACGTGTGAATACCAGGGACAATATTATTATATTCTGCACAAAAACCTTGAGTATCCTTTAGCACTTTTTTCACTAAAAATGACACGACATTTCTTTGGACTAGTTGTTCAGTTCAGGGTCATATGCGCGTATTTTAGACACAGGCGAACCATTGTTTGACGTGTCTTTCATTAATTATGCCTTTTCTCTGCCTCGTTGTTCACTCTTATTAAAAGTGCTCGTTATACCCCGCGGTTGTAGATCGGCCCTGCCAAGCTGTAGAACAGCAGTAAGCTGCCTGTCCATTGCAAACTTCCCATCGCTATAGTTTGAACTATCTTGACTTTCTCAGAGCAAGTTACAATCGTGCACGACATGTATACTGCGGATAGTAGTGGTACTCCGCAACAGGACTTGTTCTTCTTGCACGCTGAATTGAAATATCCACAGAAACTCCCGGAGATAGTGAAATTTCTCGTCGGGCATAGCAGTTGCTATGGTCCTTGTATACAAGCCTAACTTACTAGAGCAGTATTCAACCTTTAATCACTAAGGCAATCAACGTTTGCCAGGAAAAAATGTCTTTGGACAGCCACTCATCTCAAAGCTCGATAGTTAGAAGCATCGCGTCATATATAAAAAGGATACAAGTGCTGTCTATTTTTGTATTAATGCATAGGTCTGTGTTGCTTCTGCAACATCGCCCAAGCGCTTTGAGGGTACTGTAGTTCAGTGTTCTCTCTACCGACTGTTTTACCTGCTGACACGATTTTAGAGCTGAATTTGCCTTAATTTTACAAGAACAAGTGATGGCAGCTCTGTGGTATTTCTTTATCAGTATTCTACAAGTTCTTGCACAACTGTGGCCACAACACAGCAAGGCTTGGCTTATGGACGGCTTTGTTTGGATTCTACATCTCGCGATTGTCGGTGGTAGGTGCAAGCATAATGGACCTATTACTGTTGTGTTGAACTTATATTTATGTAAAAACACGGACGCCTTTTATTTCAGTCTTTACCCAACGCCGCTGCAACATATAAAATGAGGTGCCACACTCAACAGGAAATTAATAAACACGACTTGTTTGGCCATACATTCAGTGTAGAACTTTACCGATGCGCTTTATTTCAACCGAGTCGCTTTTCAACTATAAAGTTCTTTTTTTAGTTCAATACGTAATTGTTAATTCAATTATACATTCAAGGGCAAGTCACGAGTTACAATCTTGCCTTGCGCGATCAAGTCAGAGTTTAACGATTTTGAGAACCACCGACCGAAAGTTTAGTAGGGTCAGGAAATATATTACTGTAACATGTCTCAGTGTCTCAACTAACTTGATGGTTTAAAATAGCACCTCAATGGCAACGCGGAAGCGACAGAACTCAAGTTATCCTAACACGGCTAATTCTACAGTGAAAATGCAGATTTATTGGCTTAAATAGTCGCCCTTATTGACCGTGTTGTGTTACAGTATTAAGATTTGGACGCAAAGCTCGTTAATGTATTGACTATCATCATCATCACCATCATGAGTTGAAGCAGTATGCGCAGATTTCTTCGCCTTGATTTCTTCACTTTGCACTCTTCTATGGCTCACTGTAATTAACTATGCTGCGACGATAACGATTCTCACGATAATTTATTCCGAGACTGCATTGAAAATAACTGTAGTCTTTAATCTCCGTCTGATCTTAATGAAAGAAAGTGAAGTTTAAAAAAAGAATTTACTAGACAGTAATCAGGCGGTTTTTACCGGAAAGTGTCTCCTCAGTCTCTAAATCCTAAGCCGGTGTCGCGAAGTTTTTAGTGGTATTAAGTTAAGTAGGGATCAAACTGAAAACTAATCCTGGCAACATTTCTTCGTTGTCACAAAGACATCAGACACGTAATTTAATGTGGTTATAAATCCTAAGCTTTCAAAAAAGACTTAAGCTGGTGTTTATTTCGCCTCTATAATCCGTTCAACTCCACGTTTGTGATCTTCACAAGTGACCTTATGCATTTTAATGTTTTAGCTTCTTAGCAACACCTTAGCGGTACAGAGAATTTACAAAATGAAAACTCCTCTTCGTTTTCCATTTTAAAAACTTATCGTGGAGGAAGACACTTCATATGATATTTTGCACCGCATGTTTTGGGCATTGTTGGTGTATACAAAAAAAAAATCAAGGATTTTAGAATTTGCAAAAAAACTGTGCCCCATCGATGAAAGGAAAACATTTCTGTGACACATTTGTCGAAGGAAAGTCCTCAGTAAAATTCTAACGTAGTCTGCCTCTGGGCAGGGAAGAACAAAATTTGTTTATTTATCATTTGTGCCTATCGACGTTCGAGTTCTGTTTTGTTCGCTGTGTCGAATATCTTTTCGCAGGAAGGTGGGAACGACGCGCTCGGTCAAATGGATCTTGCAACAGTATGGCGGTAGGGCGGCAGCAAAATTACGATCCGTATTGTCATTCAGTTGTTCTTTAATAGGAGAGCATTCTTAGTAACGAGGACAAACCTTTTGTGTATTACCTGTAGCTAGTCTAAGTTGCTAGAAAAGCACAAAACTTAATGCACAAGTATCGCTATATGGAAGGTCACCAAAAGATCAGTAAAGGGGTTTCGAGACGCTGTTGCATGGGTCGGAAAGCCGAGAGGAATTGTGTCTTTGTGCGTCATGCTAAATTCAACAACAACCCGGGTTTGGTGTTATTAGGACGAATGATGGCCATAAGGGTGAATTCTTTTTAGTTTCTCAGCGTGCCGTACAATAACTGTAGCGAATCCCTTGCGTGTTTTTTCTCGCCACATCCTGGTGGTTCTGCCTGGTACCTGCTGTGGTCGCGCCGTATTATTGTGTTTTTAAAACCAATTTGAGTTTTATCTTTATCTGATCAGTCTCATGATGATTCCTTCTTCGTAAGTAACGTTCATTTAGGCGAGCTCAGTAAATGGATTAAACATTGAAAGAACGCTTTCCTTCCATGCGAGTAAGGGTGATAGGCATTGTGTTAGCTAGAACAGAAAGAGATGGTCAAGAATACTGAAATTTTGATCGCTTTCGCTCGAAAGTTCGCAATTTGCCAGTCGTGATGTTTCTCACCGATTTTATCACGAAGGATTAACAAAACACTCATTGATCGTAATATTTGCTTCAGATTAAAACTCTTTATTGTAAATTAATGATATCGTGCTTCGGGTATTGTCAGTGAACTGTTGTCGTTGAGATAAATGTAAAATAAATGTTCCTAAATTTTATACTATTGTAACAAGCGTGGAACAACTTTTTAGCTGAATGGCCTTGGAGTGAAGGCTTTCACTTGCAATTCTGCGCTATTTTCTATTGCGTAGGTTCTTTAAGTTCTAGTAATAGTATAATTTATCAAGGTCGTACTTGATTTTAATCGCTTTCCTTACTGGAGTCATTTCCCTGTTTTATCAGTAAAGCCGCAGAGTTGACTTGAAGTTATTTTAATTCCTTACTGTCTTACCTCTTACATTAAAACACAAAAGAATAGTCAAAACGGGTTATAAAATCACCCGCATCATCTATCTACGATTCGCGCATTTTCTTGTTGTAAGCCTCAGCGCCCACGAAAAGCCTAACACGTCAAAATGAAGATTCTTCCCCGATCGGTTTTCTCTTTACCTAGGCAACTATACCGCCGAAAATACTGATTAACTTTCAAATATTCGCCTTTTATACAAAAGAGCCGTAAGGGTTCTCCCTGTATACCGTGAAATGAAATTGGTCCGCTATTGTCCTAGCAGTGGGAGGCGTTATTACTTCTTGTTTCCCTCGTCGCTGGAGGTTTATTGACGAAACGAGAGTTTAGTGCGTGGAACATGTTGGGGTCGTGTGCTTATTTTCATTAGCTCACTCTGAAAGCGCGTTGGAAGGACAATGATAACAATCCGGCTTTTTCCCGATTATTTTAGAAGGCAATTCTAGCCTGGTGGTGTCGTTAATATGTTCAGATAATGGGAAACCGGTTAAAGACTTTTCCCACCATGTGTCTCCAACGCTCAAATTGTATTATAGCACTCTTAATTTTCACAAGCAAAACGATTAATCATTACAATGTGTATAGACGAACCTTGCAAGAAAAGACCTTCTTTTACTGCAAACATCAATGGCCAATACTTTTGTGGGATATTCTGTGACCACCCACAGCTAAGCTAGTATCACTTCCAATTACCCACACTGCCCAGTGGCATCTAAGAAACAGAATAAAAAAATGTAGGCTTATGAAGCAATACAATGGCAACTTGGCTAAACAAAAATGGCTAAATTCTGAAAAGGTCCATTGTTAAGGTAAGGCGGTTTACATGACAAAAGCGAACGTTTTATTTGCTTTGTTCTGTGTGCTCCACTGAACGATAGCTAGTATGACGAGCCAAAGGACGTGAGAAAAACTCCTCAGAGAGTGCTAATTATTTCGCACTCCCTTGAGCATGGCTCCACAGCATAAGCCATTTCAAAGCCAAGAAAATATTCCTTAAAAATAATTCTTCTGGATAAGAGAGTGGGCAGTGATAACGCCACAAAGTAAGGTGCTCACACCTGGGGTGAGCAGAAGTTCATATTGCAAGAACCCAATACTTACAGCAAACGAACAATTAATTCAATGAATTCGGCTCTCAAGTTTTCAAACCGCGTTTAACTCTGTGGGAGTCAAGAAAAGTTTCCTTTTTCTGCGTTGATTTAAAATCACGCTTTCCTCTAATAATTGTTTCGTTGCATGCTCATTTTAGTTCTCGTTGGAATCGGAATATGTGATGAGTCTTTTATTTCTTTTAGTGTAGTTGTTATCACCTAACCAGCTCTGCTTTTATGCGGTCAAGAATAGAAATTCAATTAGCCTTGTTAAGAAGTTGATCAGTATCCATTTCATTTGCAATTTTCTCTGGTGTGAATATGCGTTTGCGGGTCGTATTCATCTTCGAGCCAAATTGTCGCGAGAGAGAAAATTTATAACTTCGTCACATATATTTTTGTTAAATTAAAACGTTTCATACAAGGGTTGTTTTTGTTTTCATAGTATCCTTTTTTTTCTTATTTTAATTCAAGCTGGGCATAGAAGGCCTTTAGAATTTATCATTTAATAATGTTGCGAAAGTAAACAAGGAAAGGAAAATGCGATGTGTTAAAGTTTAAGTGTCTTTTCAATCCTTTAAATCGCACATTCACTCTTCACGTTTTCGTGATGTTGGATATAAAATAGAGGCTATTTAATCAGTCTTAAAAGAAAAAGACAGCTGAAACGTAGAAATATCGAAGCTTTGGAGCTAGTGGTAAAATAATAAATTATGTGATGGCGAGAAGACATTGACGACAATGATTTAAATTTAAATTTTTCCTTTAACACCCACACACAATTCCCGCTTATTTACCATGCGGTTGCTGTAACAACACCTCAACTTTCTTTGCAAGAATTTCTCTGAATGTTTCATGAATGATGAATAAACTTGTCGATGGAAAACATCGGTGGTTTGTTTTTCTACGGAACCTTAAGTTTACGTTGCAACGATTAAGGAAAAAAGGAAACACTGATTTATTTCGTGTAAAATCATTTTTGTCAAGTCAGCGAGAAGGACAAGGAATCATTTTGAACGTCATTTAAAAAAACTGGAATGATTTGTACTCAACTCCGAGATTGCAATTTACATTTAAATTCACAGATCAATCTCTAGTCACTTCGACTGCCTCCGTATTTTCTAACATTGTTTACCGGCCTTTCAATGCTGACTTTTCACGAGTTTGATTCGCGCTAAAAGTTGCCAATAATTTTCAGATCGATTAGCGTTTTAATTTAAAACTCATTAAGTAATACAAGGTCGCGTTCAGCAATAGCATGCTTAATGAATTTTCGACTAAAGTCGTCTCGCTAAGTCAAAACCTAATAAATCCTATCTCCGCCCTGGATTATAAGTTATTTTTTGTTCGATCCCCTTTCACGACTTGTCGAAGAGGAGACGCTTTTTGTCTAAATCATTTCCTTTGTAAAAAGTAGTAAGTCACGTTTAAAACACCTGGAACTTAAATGAAACGATTTTATCTTCAGTATTCTATCAGCACATTTTTGTTTTCTTGCGCACATAAAACCTTGCTTCGCACAACGAAGGAGAGATTCGCACCGACGAGAAGATCAGTCTTTTTAGTGTATTGTATTTGTTCTCAATCATAATTCAGTTCAGAGTAACAAAAGCTTTCATTTGGATTCACAAAGGCGGAGGCTAAAAAAGGAGAATTAACGCAAACAAGCTATTTTAGAGTCATTGGGCACAGACCGCAACCCTCTGGTCTTTCAGCGGACTCAGAATTTCACAAATGCAAACGATCAGCGATAATATCTGGGCATTGAAATGTCCACGTTGAGCAGAGAAATTATGATGATTCAAATTTGTCTCACGAGAAAATGATGATTTTTGTAAGCGAATACAAAAAAGGTGATTTTATAACTCGCCTATTGGGGTGACTTAGGAAATAAACACATGCGTTCACAAAGGCTCGAACAAAAGCAGTTCAATTTACTTTTTAACCAAACAAAAACTGCGGTAGGATACATTCTTACTCTTGCACTTCTTCCTCAGTTACGGGTCGCATCAGTCATGTCTACCTGAAAACTGAAGGAAAGTGTCATAGCTCGCTAAAGCACAGACTCGTCCTGTATATACAATTGTGGGCATTGCACAGTAACTGACACTGTGAAGGACTGTTGCCCCGAATGCTAATATAATATGATATTTGTGTACCGACATATTTGTTGTATGTTGTGCTATTTGCCGCAGATCGAATAAAAACAAGAAAAGGGATATTTCAAATGGTAAAATGCTCAATCAAGAAGAAAAATTGAAAGGGTCGAAGCTATCTTCTGAGGTCATTCTTTTGTAACATGACTGAATAGGACCTGACTAAGTTGCTCACTTCTGGATCCCTCTAGTTGCTTTTTAATTATCGAATCCACAGGCCATAGTTACAAACACCGCCTTAAAAGTCCGCACCATGTTGTAACAGGCAGGTCAATTTCTAGCTGAGGATTTCCTTAGCAGTCCAATATATTTTTTTTGTCGTTTTCTTTAAATAACCAGATAGATCGTTTATTTCAGCTGTTCTCGTTGTACTAGCTTGATACGTGAACTTTTAACCTCGCGTTTTCCCCCTTTTTTAGGTAGACATTAATCAAGAGTGTGTAAACAATATGAATGGAGCTAAAAAAAACTTCAGCTATTAACATGACAATGAAAGAGATATTGCTGCGAAGGTGACGCAATTTCATAGAAGGAAAGGAACCAATTGGCGGTGACAATGCGTAGAGTGAACGCATATGTAATGAGTGCACCTGCAGAACAATTGATATCTTGCTTTAATTTACAAACGTCTAACAAACCGATACAGCGTCAGTAAATAGTGCCTCCAAACTGCATAAATAGCGTGTGACTTCTGCAGCACGGACTTAAATCTTATTGGGCACATTGTCGTAGACTAGAGTTCGGAGGACGCCTCTTTCAAATTTCTCTGGACATCTTTTACACCTATTTGCCTCCCACTCGGACCTTTCTTTAAAGTTCCTCGACATTTTCGTTCATTTTTAGACTGATAGATGGGAATGGCTGGTAAAACGAAGCTAAATGAGCAACACCTGGTTAACTTATCGAGTGATGCTCGTGCCGTCGTCCGGAAGGAAGATCAAGTCACAGCTGGAAGTTCTCTTCTAAATTTTATGAACTTGGCCTCTGGAAATGTAAAAACCGCCTTGGAAAAGCCAGCCAATTTCAAAAGGAACATTAATCACCGAAGATATCTACAAAAACAGCTGAGGAACTATTCCAAGCGGAAGAACGACATAATCCCCAAGAAACCAAAAGACGTTCTTAAACGTAAAGCTCACACCTCAGCCGGTGACAAACACGGCATGTCGAGGAATTCCTCAAAACAAGAAGGGAGTTCCAAAAGATCTGAACGGACTGCAGAAGCTGTCAACTTTGAGAAACCTTCGCTGCGGGAAAGAAACCTCCCCCCGTCATTCTGGCAAGAGCCGGTGATTCAAGACGGCACGGAGACCTACATGTACTCGTTGTATCCGGTGCACGCCAGGACCGGGGAATCGGAAGACCCTTACAACCCCGCTTTCGAAACTTTCTTCGAAGGATGGAACGAATGTGTGACACGAGAAATTCCCGCCGAAGAACTGTCGCAAAGTGGATCTGTGCCCTCTGTTTCATCGGAAGAAGCTATTTGCGACGATTTCCTGACAGGGGAAGAACTTACGCGAAGTATTGACATTAAAGATCTGTATGTGCCTGAACTTTATATCACGGACAGAAGCCCTCACGAGCCATCTCAGGGCGAAAGCCTTTATCTGGCGCCCATTTCGCCCACACAGTATGTACTAACTCCTACATCCTGCGCGGATCAAGCTTACTTCAATTTTTCTTTTGATCACGACGCATCAGGTTTACCGCCTTTTGCCATGGCTTTTCTAAGCCCGGGCTCCTTAACACCCTATTAGTTTTATACTCGTGTTCACTATTACTACTTAAGCTACTAAAGACAAGTTCTATAAAGGAAATAAGACCAGTTTAGTTCACCCTAGACAAAGACGAGAGCGATGTTTTGAAGCTGTAAAGATTTTTTAAATTCATCATGCAGCTTCCCTTTGAATTTTGCTCTGTAAAAGGTGATTACTAGAAGGAAAGGTATTAGTTCAAACCCAATAACTGTACCTTAGAACGCAGAATTGAACAATTTTTAAGAGACTTGCACAAAAAGTGACATTTGAATGAGAATTGAAATTAGCTGAGTTGAAAAGCCGGGGAAAATATGCTGTATGGAAATTAATGTCATCCACGTACACTCTGTGTTATAAAATTTCAGAGCAACAATAAATGACTCTGTAAAAACACTAACACTTCTAAAAGGGTGAGTTTTATGTCTTGCTATATGCATATCATACTCTCTAGGTATTCTAGACGATGAAAATTTGATGAAACCAAGTTAGAATTTTTTTATTCTTGCTTTTTAAGTCAAAATAATGGCTGAGTTTACATATTATCTGAATAATCAAATGGTAACAGCCAGTTGAGCGATTTTCCATGGTCATTTTGGGTTCGTTTAGTTGATATCGATAAAGTTCCTGTTAATCTTAAACAGTAAGAGTGCGTCTATACCATTTACTACCGTCTATCTCTCAGTCTCCTTACCCAATTCGGCGACTTCGCTAAAAAATGATTGTTAAGCTCGGCTATTTTTGGAACAATATCGTAGGAAGTATGAGGAAATTCAAATTAGGAAAAATGATAATGTTTCTTGTTTCAACGGAAAGAAAATGGGCGATGTTTTTCCTTCCTGTGCTGTGAGAACTGTCAGGGCATTCGGGCTGAACTGAAACCTCACGGCATAGCTCATTATACAGGTGTTTAATTGTTCTCAACTCCTCCCAGTACGTAAGAAGGCCACATTTTGAGTCATGAGAAAAATATCTTAGTTTTGTTTTCTTCTGGACTAAATAAACGTAGTTGCCTTGAAGTCGAAGGTGCGAGCTATAATTGACAGTACATTTTCTTTGGCATACAGAAGTTGGTGGACTGTTTTATACATTTCGTCCAATTATTGCTCCACTGTGTGCACTATGCAAAGCTAAAAGGGGCCTTATAATGTCCATCCCACGCATTAAGACTTAATTCGTCATTGGAAAAATCTTTCAAACAGTGTGCCTGTTTTCTAATGGAAAGGTTTTGTTTCGTCAATATTGAGGGATTACCGTTTGCAGCCCACTCTTGTTCATCCTCGCCGGTAATTTGTTTATGATCACGGAACGTCTTCCGCTATACATTAGTGCAACAGGGAAATTTAAACATGTCATAGGTTTTATTGTGTCATATATGTATCTTTAGATTTTCTATTGCATAAAGCTGCGCAAATACGGTATGACATTATTGACTTGATATTAGGTATTTCTACCAATAGCACGCAACACTACGTGGTGTTTTTTGTTTTATTTTTTTCATACTAAGCGACGAACGTCACTGGCTTCGTGCTACGCGAAATCACTGACCATTGAAGGGACGTTTAATCCACAAAATACAGAATGAATGAGATTTATTGTGGCAGTATAAGCGGTAAATATCGATAAAACGCGGTGAATGAAAACATCAGCATCTCTTCAAACTTAAAAAAAAAAATACATGATTTTGCCTAGTACGCATGCGTTGCTGTAAAACGCATGCGTGTCAGTGTTGGATCATCTCTCTCGAAAGAGAAGAAAGCTCTGCTGTCACTCTTTGTCATGAGTTAAATTGGTTCGGAAATGAAGTTTACTTCAGCAAAGCATAGACTACCTGGGTAAAATAGATTAAGACTGCGCACAAACGCGAGAGGAAATCCAAAGCACGAAAGGCAATCAAGCTTCAGGTAACAAAGTTATTTATTATAAACAACAATTCAAGCAACATTAAAACTCGTTACTTATCACCATTCATTCCACTTAATGTTACTTCTAAGAGTTTGGTGGTGTATCATATGATGACAAGACCCCAAGCTATATTTCACGTGATGCACATGCTCACCATCCGTTGGACTTTACCTCAGCTCGCTCATTACACGTGCAACTACGCATGCAAATAAGAACATTTTCTTTTGAAAATTACACAATTAGAGCGATTTAGAAGCCCTTTAAATTAAATACTGAAACAACGTGCTTTAGGAAAGGTGTCGGTTTTCACTCAAAACCTGTTGTTGCCTCAGCACCGATCGATGAATTTATTGTATTTTTTTAATGGATCTTGTCCAGTCTCAAATCAAGAAGTAGTTGATTTTTTAGTAGTTCAAATGTTACACGCTATCTATCATTCCTATTGGAAATTGAAGTATTTAGGCAAACTTATAGTCTAATAAAAAGAACGAATACTGCGAAGTGTTCTCATCTGGCGCTAATAAATGATAATTTTTTACCATGTACTTGAACTAAGGGTTTGTTATTCGAAGCTAAGATGTGAAAAAAAAGTGAAGAAAAGACAGATTATGCTTTCTTCGCTACTGTTGTCTGCCTCTGTTTGGCCATAAAGAGGCGATAAAGAGACCATCTTGGTCAAAAACTATTGAACTGTAAAGAATTGAACACTGCAGAGACCGGTAATGACACTCGCGTTCTTTCTTCTCTTTGTGCCCAATGTTAACATAGCAACGGCAGTGTCAAAATGCTTTTCTTATAGCCTCCTTCGCGATCTTGCTTTGAACTCAGTGTAGATGCAGCCAGAATTCCCCCTATAGTTGCTATGTTTAAAAAAACTATGACTCGGAATTCATTACCCCTAGCTTGAGGAACTATTCTGTCTTAAAATAGTGTTATAAAGCTGTTTATAAAGAAATTGATTCATTTTTTTTCTCGGTCTTAGGGTCGAAAGATAAACGTAGATGATGTGTACTCTTGCATTAGGTACGCCATTAATAACCAATTCTATTATGTTCTTTCACCCACTGTCATCTCAAACAGCTAAGGGATTAAATGATTATACTTGGTTTTATTATGCTTATAGAAGAGTAAAACCTCGAAGCTAAGAAAAACGGATCTAGTTCTAAAACGCTAATGGCGGTTTCACCATGTAGGACACTGTGCCGGTTACCTGTAGAAGATTTCTAGTCACGCAATAGCTTTCTTTCGAAGCCAACAGCGCCGAATGCGAGAATGTTGTACGTTTCCTTCCAAAAAGCTCGAGTTTCTTATGAAGTTGCTTGACCCATTGCTGAGCGCTAGTTAAAAAAGCAACAAAAGAAAACGTGCTTGAAGATCTTTCCATGCATGGGCGATGAATGAAGCACAAAAGTACCTGTTATACAGACACCGAAATGTGCTCGCCTCAACGTGGCGTCTGTAAAAGAGTAAAATAAAAAAAAACCTGCTTGCACTTTAGCTTCTGTTTGCTAACAGAAAGAGGACACTGCGAAAAGAGTGAAACCACGTTGTTTTTACACAGACAAAAGGGTACATTTAAATTGTTGCTCAAACAATGTTTATTTTACTTTCAAGTAAAACTAGGACTACAGACTTGGTTTAAGAACCATTAGACCAATACTTATAGACGTGTATTCAACAACGTTTTTATTTTTCGAGATGATTGTCTCCGAGAAAAAGGTTAAAAACGATGTCACAGGTACACGTGCTTTTCTTATCAGCGTGTTTTCCATTTTTCACCGTCTACTGTCTCTTTTCTGCCGTCCATACTAAACACTTGAGGCCAACAGTAAACCCACAAATATTGTGATTCAGTAATATCGGGTACACATTTTCCGCTCCACTGTTCACCTCAATTAATAATCTACTTCTAACTGGATGTCTTTAATTACTAAATTACTTTAAATTGGATTGTTTTTTTTTTTTTTTTTTCTTGTAAGACAAAGTAAACACTTGCATATAAGACAGGGTCAGTCTCTTTTTTAAAACAATACTACAAAGCAAGAAGTCCTCTAGCCTTAAATCCTTATCAGCTCCATTATCAATTCGGGCGTGTTTTTGTAAAGACAATTTAGACTTCCCCCGCAACAACACGTTGGTGGACAGTTTAGCTATGACAAGCTACAAGTGAGCCTGTTTTGGCACTGATAGCTACGCCTACAACTCTATACGAGCAGAGAATGAAATTTCGCGTTGGCTGGGAATTCTGACCGGGGAAGTAATACAGCAGGATTGTTTTGACGGGTTATATTGTTCAGCTGTCAGATAAACTGATAAACTGGAATAGCAATAACACGCCTAATTTATTCACAGAGTGCGAGGTGAACCATGTGTGAGAAGGGGCTACCGTACTTTATTCATAGCTCGGACGCCTGGTTTTGATATCCAAATCAGCAGGAGATTAAGGCTACTCCATTTAGTTATCAATACTGACAGTTATTATACCGCTATATTACCTATAGTCTGACTCTCGAAAGAAAGCATTTAACCATTTAGTGATTCATTGGTTCTCTCAATTACCATGCAAACTCGCCAATTTAGGTATCGTGTGTATCAAAGTTGAAACATACTAACTTACCAACTGAATAATAGTTAATAAATGAGTGAAAAAGAGAAATAAGTAAATAAGGTATCAACTACGCATCCCAAAATTTTGAAAAAAATTGATAACTTCAGCAATAAAACTATGTTCTATTGTGTTATTGATTTATAATTTTTTAATTCTCAGCGAGCACAGCGAGATAGTTGATATGTATGATGAGTATGGAAAAATTAGGAAGGCTGCGGAGTTCCGGCCTTTATACGAGGGGTCTCTACACTTAAGGACTTAAGCTCCGGTTGCAAACGCGTACGTATTGTCTACGTACCTCTAAATGAATAACCGGTTTCTATTCAAATTCCGTTTGCTGTCTTAAACTAAGATAATGAAGCTCGCTCATTGTTTTGCTGATTATTGTTTTATTTATTTATTTTTTTTGGTGAGATAGCATTGATAAAATCATATAAATATCAGTGTTAATGGTCTTGATAATAGAAGGCAAGTCAAGAATTTAAAGAAAAAGACAAAACTTTTAAGGTTGAAAGACAAGTTTCGACAGAACCTACTGCCATCTTCAGTTAATTAATGTACAAAGCGCTGTTAGTTGAATTTATAATAAGTAGAAAAATGCTAATCGTGACAACAAAATGAAGCAACGCGTGAAAGTGTGAGAATTTCAGTAAAGAGTTACAAAGCATGGACCTAACGCTCCACGTCCCGCATTATCCCCGGGACCCGGAGCACGATAGATTCTGTTCTTAAGACTCTTTACACTGTTGAATTTAATTAGATTTTTAGAAGTGAGTTCTTGAAAACAGGGAAAATTACTCAAAACTTCACTGGTAAATTGTTCTCCTGCCATGAGTTTCGTTCTATGTAGTGAAACAAAGACAATCTTTTGCCTGTTGTGAAAGAAG